ATACTTTTTCCATGATAACTTTCCAAAGTTCTTCACTAAGAAGATCTATATAAATAATTTAATAAGGGAATGATTTCTACATAGAAAAAGTGGTGTTTTCCTTATTTTACTTTACTGTTTCTTTAAAAGAGAGTTATTGAGCCGGGCTTGGTGGCTCAGCCTGTAATCTCGTGCCTTGGGAGGCTGAAGTGAGTGGATTGCCTCAGCCCGCGGGTTCAAGACCCACCTGGGCAACTTGGTGAGACCTCATCTCTACAATAAATCAAAAAATTAACCAGGTGAGGTAGCGGGCACCTGTCGTTCCAGCTACTTGGAAGGCTGAGACAGAAGGATCACCGGAGCCCAGCAGGTCGAGGCTGCGGTGGCCGGGAGCAGTCCACTGCACCAGTCTGGGCGACAGAGTGAGACTCCAACTCAAAAACAAACAAACAAACAAAAAGACAGAAAACTTTTCTGCTACTGAGAACAACTCTCCTTAGAGCATGGACACCGCCTGTGCGTCTCTCGTGGACTGGTTCTTAAAAAGCCACCGTACAAATGAAGAATGGTTTTGATTTATTAAAATTTATAAAATATAGTTAGTTCTCTAACTTGTATATGTAACACATTACTGAAAATATATATAAAAGTCAATCTCATTTCCTCAACTTTCTTCAATATAATTATTATTCTTTTTTGAGTTGGGAGTCTCACTCTGTTGCCCAGGGTGGAGTGCAGTGGCATGCTCACAGCCACCCCAGCATCAACCTGCTGGGCTCAGGCAATCTTTCTGCTGGGCTCTGGTGATTCTTCCACTTCAGTCTTCCAAGTAGCCAGAATTACAGGTGTGCGCTTCCATGCCCAGCTAATTTTTTGACCTAATGTAGAGACGAGATCTCACCATGTTGCCCAGACTGGTCTCAAACCCCTGGGCTCAGGCAATCCTCTCACCATGGCCTCCCCAAAGTGCTGGGATTACAGGCTGGAGTCACTGCACCTTGACCCTTTGTATTTATTATATACCACTGTCCTATCTAGTCACAGTTAATTACAATACAGAACTATTTTACTTTTACATTTTTTTAGAGACAGGGTCTCACTATGTTACCTAGGCCATTGTTGACCTCCTGGGATCATGTGATCCTCCCTCCTCGGCCTCCTGAGTAGCTGGGACTATAGGCGTGTGCCACTGCACCCAGCGTCAGAGTCATTCTGCATTTCTCCAAATTGACTTCCATCACTTGTGGTCACTTTCCTAGATGACTGTGACTTCCTTTAATCTACTTACCTATCGTTGTTCTGTTTTTTCCAACGAGCCAGCAGTGGTAACTGAAGAGTGAGAGGACGCTGATGAAGAACATCGCAGACACGAAGAAGAGGAAGAGGATGTGGAATTTTGCACGTGTGTCTGTCAGTTCATTCTGAGGAAGGAAAAGGAAGTTAATTCAGAGGATTGTCAGACTCTAAAAGATGGCTTATAATTTAGCTCTGTCTAAAAATTATTGAATACACCAAAAAATTTTGCCAGATATATGAAAAAATAATACATTTGGTAAAATATCCCAAGGCAACAAATGCAAAAGCAAAGAATTGGTATTATCAAAGCAGCCTGCTTACAAGGTCAGGAAGTCATTGAAAATATTGCTCTTGGCCAGGCACAGTGGCTCATGCCTGGAATCCCAGCACTTTGGGAGGCCACAGTGGGAGGATCACTTGAGTCCATGAGTTTGAGACCAGCCTAGGCAACACAGTGAGACCTCGTCTCCACAAAAAAAAAAAAATATTTAAAACATTAAAAAAGTTTTGCTGGGCACAATGGTGCATGCCTATAATTGCTGCTATCCGGGAGGCTGAGGTGGGGGGATCACTTGAACCCAGGAGTTCAAGGTCAACCCGGGCAATATATCGAGACACTGTCTCTATTAAAAAAAAAAAAAAAAATTAGCAATACTTTCAGTAATAAAGTGAAAAGATGGACTCTTCTACCGAACAATTTTCTTTTGTACTTTATATACTGAAGTTTTCCTCAATACCCAAGTTATACGAGCTCTTCATCTATCCTAAAATATCTGCTTGTTTTAATTATACATGCTACTAACCAGAAACTACTGGTGATGTATTTGTCAAGTTTCATTTCTGAATCTCTCTAATCTCCATTTTCAAAACACCCCTGAAACGTGGCCAAGCCCTCACCCGCTTTGATTCCTGCTTTTCCCATCCTTATTTCATTTCTATAGAGCCTTTGTAGGAAATCAGCAACTCTGAGAAATAAATTCACCACAAGCTATTAATGACTGAAAACAGCTTCTTGGGTACCCCTTCTATGGCTATCTGCATTTTAATGGGAGCAAACTCTTAACCTAGAACTTAAAAGAAACTAATATCCATTAATTGGAGAAGGAGGAAGCCTTTAAACGTTAGCTCTTAAAATAAAACCATACAAGATTACAAGAACTCGAGGCTGTCCTGCCTGACGTCAAAGTGTTTACAGACCAAAGATTCGTCTTAGATCATATTTTTTTCTTTTGAGTTGGAGTCTCACTCTGTCGCCCAGACTGGAGTGCAGTGGCCGCTTCCGGCCACCGCAGCCTCGACCTGCTGGGCTCCGGCGATCCTTCCGCCTCAGCCTTCCTAGTAGCTGGAACTACAGGCGCGCGCTACCACGCCCGGCTAATTTTTTTGATTTGTTGTAGAGATGAGGTCTCGTCAAGTTGCCCAGGCGGGTCTCGAACCTGCAGGCTCAGGCAATTCACTCACCTCGGCCTCCCAAAGTGCTGGCATTACAGGCTGAGCCACCGAGCCCGGCCGTCTTACATCATTTTGACATTTGTCTTTTTCTCTCTTTTTCCAAAGTAACCACGCTACCTTTAAACACGTCAAATGAGTCTTCTAACTCACTATCTTGTGAAGCATGTTTTTACTATACGCATTCACTATAAATGTCACAAAAGAGATCACGAGAATGTCATGGCAATGATGTATATTACCTTTGGACAACTGTCTGTAGATTTCCTGCGGCAAAGCTTGTGCAAATAGAGACAATATATTAAGAAACCAATTTTTATACAAAATTATGCTAAACACTGGTTTTACAAATGCTTTCTTTGAAGCAATACCGAGATGTTGCTCTCTGACGGTCACCCACTACAGTTTCAAGAAATACAAGAGAGTAAACAGAACACTTAGCTCTTTGAGCACATTGCAGGAACTCTTTAAACACACACTTTCCCACTGGTTTTTAAAACAGAGATTTGTGTCTGGCAAAGACTAAAATAGAATGGTTTTCGCCAATTTTTATAAAACTTCTGCCTGACAGCTTTCAAAACCTGGGTCTGATGACGTTTGCCACCCTCACTGTGCCTGCCCTGTAAGGCCAGGAAGCCGGCAGCCTCCGCACAGGCCATGTGGATGCGGGCCCCTCAGCCGACGGTGCTCAGCCCGGCAGCCAGGCTGCGGCTTGCCCGCTCCCCGCCTGGCTCTGAATGGAAGCCGCTGGCCCCCGATACACCAAGGCCCTGCGGTGTGGCTCCTCTCGCTCATGCCACCCAGCCGCAATGATTTCCTGGCTGTCGCTCAGGCACGGGAGGGACCTGCCATGAGCCTGAGCCTGAGACACTCTGCTCCAACACCCACGAGCTCCCTCCCCATTTCTGTGGGCAGCCGCCCGCCATGAGGCCCACCGTGACCATGCTCCTCAGCCCTGCCTGCCTCACTCTCAGACCTGTCCTGCTCGTCAGCCGGGACTTGTCTCCTGTGTCTCAGGAGGGAGCTCTGAAGGCAGGACCCTCTGCCCATGACTCGTGGCACAGGCCGCGTCTCTAGAACATTGCCGGCCACAAAGCAGGTGCTCGGTGTGGCTTGGATAAATGAAAAACAAAACCCCACAGATTTAAGCTTATTAGTCTTTTCTTACTTATGATGAATCCATGGAAGTTACCCATTCTTTGACAAATTGTTACATGCAAACTCTGTTGAAATTTCTGATAGAGAAATGTGAAATTTAGACTTCATTTACCCGGCACTGCACCCTGTATAAACAAGGGCCACTAAAGTATGGCTAGTAGACTGTAAACCGAACAAAGATGGCCAGCTAGGGGGACAACAGTGGCTGTGGTCACAGAGCAGGGGTGCCCTCTGCCACCACATGCAGAAGTGCTTAAGGACTGGCATCCCCAGGCTTCCCATACCCAAACTTAAAAAGTCTACTGACGTCTCAATGAACACTTGCCCCATGTGTGTGAGACAGCTCCTGGAGATATAACTGTGCTTGAGGACTCCAGGCACTGGTTGCTCTTCCCAGTCCTGTGAGCAGCAAATATAAAACACGGAAGGAAGCACGTGGATGCTGGAGAGGACATATGTAAGTGGAAATTCTGGCTGTTTATGCCGGTTAGCATATGACTGTGGGCAGTGGTATAACTTCTCCACTCTCAGTTTCCAGCTATGAAAACTAGAGTACTCATGGCCCCTCTGCAGAAACCTGTTTTCTATATTCCTGATGCTCTGACATCTGGGGCCTTGCTCACTGGGAAGAGACTGCCCCCCACCCCCTCCCAGGGCCAGCCAAGCCCTGGAGCAAAGCACTCGCCCAGGAGCGCATACCACAGGCAAACTACCCACCGGAGGCCCACCCAGCCCCCACCTGGCCCAGCTGAGAGTTCCCCCACCTGGCGCTCAGATGAGGCCACTGTCCTCGGCACAGCATCCCAGGGAGAAGTCCTTATGCCACGGATCCTCTGACATGATCCAAACCAGCCCGTCCCAAACCTGCTTGCTTGGCCTTTCCCACAGACCCTGCAGGGAGGCTCCAGACCCCACTCCTGCCTCCAGAACACCAGCCCTGGTGCCTCTGCCACCCCTTCCCTTGGGGCTGTGAGCATCGGTCTTGGAAATGTCAGTCTCATCGTACCTGAGCAATAATAAAACCGACAACTTAAACACCTTCACAGGGTTTTCAGGAAGAGTAAATGTAAAAGTGCTTTTTAATCACAGTAGCCCCCTTTACATTTAAATCTAAAGAGATTTAAATGTAAAAATGAAAACAACAGATGTGTCAGAAAACATATAAGAATATGTGTGTGAATTTTTACTGAATAGTCAACAGACATAAATCATATATAAAAGAACAGGCCAGGTGCAGTGGCTCAAGCCTGTAATCCCAACACTTTGGGAGACAGAGACAAGAGGACTTCCTGAGCCCAGGGTTTGAGACCAGCCTGGGCAACTTGGCAAGACCTCGTCTCTGTAATAAATCAAAAAATTAGCCAGGCATGGTAGCACATGCCTGTAGTTCCAGCTACTTGGAATGCTGAGGTGGAAGAATTGCCTGAGCCCAGCAGATTCTGCGGTGGCCGTGAATGTGCCACTGCACTCCAGCCTGGGCAACAGTGAAACTCTGGCTCAAAAAATAAATAAATAAAAACTTCAATTTGACAAAAACAACATGGGATTGAGAGTCATAAACAGAAAACATGGAGAAAAACATTTGCAACCATGATAGAAGGGGGATGAGCATCTCTCGGCATGCCTCCTGCCTTCTGGGTATGCAGCGCTCGTAAGACACATCGCGTGTGTCTTCTCGCAGTGAGTGGCCTGCCTCTTACTCTAGAAGGTGTCTTTTTTAAAAAGTTCTTAATTTTTTTTTTTTTTTTAGTCCAAGTCTCACTCTGTTACCCAGGCTGGAGTGCAGTGGCACACTACTGCCACTGCAGCCTTGACCTGCTGGGCTTGGCTGGGCTCAAGCAATCCTTCCACCTCAGCCTTCCAAGTAGCTGGAACTACAGGAGTGTACCACCACGCCTGGTTAATTTTTTGATTTACTATAGAGATGAGGTCTCACCAAGTTGCCCAGGTTGGTCTCGAATCCCTGGGCTCAGGCAGTCCTCTTGCCTGTCTCCCAAAGTGTTGGGATGACAGGTGTGAGCCACTGTACCTGGCAGAAGTTCTTAATTTTAATGAAGTCTAATTTGTTGGTCTTTTCTTTTATGATTAAGTGATTTCCAGGTTCATTTTAAGAAATCCTCATCTACCCCAAAGTCAAGAATAAAGATGACTACCAATAATATGAGAAAAACTCTTTTTGTATTCACAGGTAAATACAAAAATCTACTAGAAAAAAGAAGGCGCAAGCCGGAAACAAGACATGCCAGTGGCCAGCAAACCAATGCAAAGGTCAGGGAGAAAGTCCACTTTGTCCGTAAGTTGGCTGGCCCTGTCCTTAGCAGGGGAGAGGACAAAGGGGAACAGGATGTGGAGGGTCCTGACCACGTCCGTGACAGGAGCAGGAATGACTCGAGGTACACCGAACTGGACAATGCAAGGTTCAAACGCCCTGAATGCTTTCCACATGACTCATATTAACCTTCACAGGGATCCCGTAAGGGAAGTCTACTCCAGTCTTAGAGATGGAAGCACGGAGAGTCTCAAGTGTAAGTGTTTCCACATTCAGCAAGTCACTCCTGATCAGCAACTGTGCCAGCCAGGATTCCAAGTGGTTTAAGAAACACCAATGAACAAAAAGAGACCAATTCCTGCCCTCTTGGGGCTCAGATTCTGGCAAATGAAGACAACACGGTATCTGCATGTAAACAAAGCTCCTTGTCTCCTCGTCTACTACCCTGATTCTAGACATCAGGTTCCTAAGGGAGTAACAGTAACTCAAAGATGACATTACATTTTCTAGTCTGGAAATGGAAATATTTGTATAGATTTTGTTTCCTTTACAGCAGACATAGAAAGAACCATGAGAAGGAAAAAAAGTGAGGCTGGTTTGAGACATGCTGGTTTTTATGGAGACTTCATTGTACCTGAGAGCTCAATAAACAGTGATAAACAGCAACTAGAAATGGGACGGCCAGTGTCTGGGCTGGGCCTGCAAACAGAGACTGTTAATGCCCAGGAACCTTGCAGAGTGCACCAGAGTGAGGCGGCCCAGGACTGAGCCTGCATTTAAGGGGGCTGGTCGGGATAGAGGGGAAGGGGCGAGGGATGGATGGTATCTTGGAACTGACAGAGAGAGTTTAAATGAAGGAGAGTTTTCATCTAAAATTGTTTCGAAAAGTTATCAAAATGGTACATGCATTATTTGCCCAAAAAGCTACTGATGAAAAGCAGTGGTTCTCTGACCCACTTCCAAAAGGCAGTTACTTGTAAGGTTTTTGGTAGTTTCCCCCCTAAGATACACACTTCCATTCCAAAGAATTTTAAACTGTGTAATGTTCTAAGTAGATTACTGTTTGTATGTGGCATACACAATTCAAAGTGTGACTATATGTCCTGACTGCTTTCATCAGATGTGAGGAGAGTTTTGCTGCATTCTTCCAGACAAGACATTAAATACAGACTCGCAGGTTACTTTGCTACAGAAACGGTCCATGCACTCTGTGCCCGTGTCTCCACCTAGCAGGTCTCACAGACCATGTCGCCTGTCATGCAGAGCTTCCCTCTCTCCCCACGCTGTCCTGCCTTCCTGGGAGTAAACTGGACCCCTGCTGCTAAGACCATCGACTGTCTCTAATCGCATGCCATTTAAAAGATGGCATAGGCTGGGATTGGTGTTCAGCCTGTCATTCCAGCACTTTGGGAGGCTGAGGCGAGTGGATTGCCTGAGCCCGCGGGTTCGGGCAACTTGGCGAGACCTTGTCTCTACAATACATCAAAAATTAGCTGGGTGTGGTAGCGCGCGCCTGTAGTTCCAGCTATTTGGAAGGTTGAGGCAGAAGGATCACCAGGGCCCAGCAGGGCAATGCTGGGGTGGCCATGAGTGCGCCACTGCACTTTAGCCTGGGTGACAGAGAGGGACCCCAACTCAAAAAAAAAAAGCCGGGCTTGGTGGCTCAGCCTTGTAATCCTGTGCCTTTGGGAGGCTGAGGTGAGTGGATTGCCTGAGCCCACGGGTTTGAGACCCACCTGGACAGTGAGACCTCATCTCTACAAGAAATCAAAAATCAGCCGGGCGTGGTAGCGCATGCCTGTAATTCCGGCTACTCGGAAGGCTGAGGCAGAAGGATCGCCGGAGCCCAGCAGGTCGAGGCTGTGGTGGCCAGGAGCGGCCACTTGTACTCCGGTCTGGGCGACAGAGTGAGACTCCGACTCAAAAAAAAAAAAAAAAGATGGCATGAAAAAAAAGAGATGGCATAAAGTCTTCAGAGGCAGGGAGCAGATCAGTGCCTGCCTGGAGCTGAGGACGTGGAACAGCAATTCGTAGCACCAACGGCCCTAAGATGGGTGTGTCTTCTGTTAGAGCAGAAGACATGTGGATGAAAAAACAATCTGAATCACCATAAGCAGTTCATTATACCCTGCTCAGTACACATTTATGTGCAAATAAACGTGTATATGAAGGTAAATTACAGCCCTGCCTGCCCTCTGATCCTTTATACATTCTAACTAGTATAATTAAAATAAAGCAAATCAAAAGAAGCAACTTGTTAGGAATACAGCATTTTAAAAAATCTTAAGTACATGTTCCTAGATAGAAAAAGACTTACCGTCCAGAACTTCATAAAGTACTCTAAAACCGTGACAGCCACGAAAAGGCAGTACAGCAGGGAGTATAGCAGAAACAGCAGGAAGAACTTGTAATTGGAAAATCCCACACAGTTATTCACCCTGCAGGAATCAAGAGAATACAAGTCACAAACTCACAGAAACAGAAAGCAGAACGGGTTGTCAGGGCTGGTGGGAGGGCAGGGGAGGTGCCTGATGAGAACCAGTCTCCAATTTTGCAAGACGAAGACACCTGGAGACGGATAACACAGTTGGGATGTGTATGACACTAGTAACCATGCACTTGAGAGTGGTGCGTTTTACCGTAATAAAAATCACTTAAAAAGACAAATCAGAAAACAACTTTCCAGTGACCACTTGAAATGGGTCACTGGGAAGTTGGAAGCGGTGTCTTTTTTGTTTTTTTTAATTTATATATATATTTTTTGAGTAGGAGTCTCACTGTCACCCAGGCTGGAGTGCAGTGGCACACTCACGGCCATCGCAGCCTCGATGTGCTGGCCTTGGGCAATCCTTCCACTCAGCTTTCCAAGTAGCTGCAACTACAAGCGAGTGCCACCATGCTTGGCTAATTTTTTTTTCCTTTTAATTGTAGAGACAAGGTCTTGCCAGATTGCCCAGGCTGGTCACGAACCCTGGGCTCAGGCAATCCTCTCGCTTCAGCCTCCCAAAGTGCCGGGATTACAGGCGTGAGCCACCACTCCTGGCTGGAAGCAGTGTCTTAACTGTGAGTGTTTTAATAAATTCTATAGGAATGTGGAATTCTGATGTTAACTCTTAATATACTTATTTGGGTTAATAACAGCAGAAGATTTTTTAAAGGAAATCATTTAATATAAATATATACATATATACATGCATATATATAAATAGATCAATCTTTTTTTTTTTTTTTTTGAGTTGGAGTCTGACTCTGTCTCCCAGACTGGAGTGCAGTGCAGCCACCGCAGCCTTGACCTGCTGGGCTCTGGCGATCCTTCCACCTCAGCCTTCCGAGTAGCCAGAATTACAGGCATGCGCTACCACGCCCAGCTGATTTTTTGATTTATTGTAGAGATGAGGTCTTGCTGCCCAGGCGGGTCTCGAACCCGCGGGCTCAGGCAATCCACTCACCTCAGCCTCCCAAAGGCGCGGGATTACAGGCTGAGCCACCGAGCCCGGCTTAGATCAATCTTAATATCTAAGATCAGTAATTCTTGGGGGGGCTATAGAAAATACTTTATTATTAATAGTATTTTATGCAGGCAAATACTTTTATATTATTATAGGTTTATTTACATTTGATAGAAACTAAGACAATGACCCTAAATATAAGAATCTACTTACATTAATATGTACTATTTTTAAGATCAGTAATTAAAGTGGCCTTTATCATTTAGGACCCCTGAAGGAAGTTACTCTGAATTCGCTCCTTCCCCCTCCAGCCCTGAGGCAATTTCTTGTTTTTATACATACCACGGACAGTGGTGATCCATCTTAAGAACACATCTAAGAAACAAACAAGTATAAGAAAATCCATGTAGAAAAATTCCCCATTGTAACTTCTCATAATTTTCTTCTATTTTACTTAAAAAGTTCCCTTTACAACCATATTTTAAGAGAAACAACCCAGAAATATTAGGTTAGAAATAATTCCTGACATCCGACAAGTACTTTTCACAAGCTACGAGGTGATTTTGTACACTGGAAATTTGAGCACACCTGCCACCAGGGCCACATCAAGTGACATGTTGGTACCCAGATCTGGTGCACAGGGCTGGGCGTGTCAGCTAGGTCCAGCCAACAAGTCAGCCGAAGGAGACAAAACACAACACCAGTGACCCCTGTGCTACCTTAAACATGTGCTGGCCATCCAGATACAACTTCAGAATCTGACAGCCAAACTAGGTTTAAAATGGTGGTAGGTTTAAAATGGTGATTTCCCCCCACATATTGTATAAAATTTTACCCCATAAATAAGCTATATATCTACTGTATTTTAATAATAACAAAAAAAACAGAAGCCCAAATGTCTCCCTATTAATACGAATTCTATATTGATATAGAATTAGACCACAATTGGCCTCAAATAGTGTAACAGATTAGCAACCCAGTACTCAGAAAGGTAGGTGGCTTGTCCAACCAAAAATCAAGGCCGGCTGGGTTCAACACAGCACCTGCTCACAGGTGCCTACAAGCTAAATGCTTTCAAATTTTTCTGGAAGAAATATCACAGATGGTAATGAAAACAACGAAGAAATTATATGGTATTTTCTTAGGTTTTAATACCGACATTCATAATAAAAACAAAAGATCTGTCACTATGGCCTCTCTAATCCTGGAAACCAAGTCATCTTTCTCAAGGGGGTTACTAACACTTGCACCTCAATGTCATGCTACGCACATGCATGGAAAGTACTTAAAGTGAAAGGAAAATCTATCAATTGGTGCAGGAACTGCCCTCGAAGACTGCTTCTGGGCATGTTCCAGTGTGCTCGAATTTTTGTTACCCTGTATGCACAGTGAGTAACGGGAGTGGATGGAGCATTTTTGCCCAGAATAAAGCATATGGCACGTTCTTCCCTTCCGTCCTTCCATCACCCATCCCAGAGCACGTGTGAACGACAGGCAACACTTACGTGTCACATGCTGAGCAGTGGTGTGCCCGGTCAGGTTTGATCAACTGACACTTTTCACAGTATCTGATGGCTATGTGAAAGAAGAAAAAGCAAGATGGTGAAGGGTGCACATGCTTAACCAACCTGACTATGAAACTAATCAGCAATTCCCGGCAACTGACAACTATTACTTTTAAAATAATTCCAGTATGTACTGGAGAGCTTCTCAAATGAAAATGTCAAAAGACAGGAGAAAATGTCAGGAGTGTATGTGTCCAGCAACTTTCAGCTAAAAAGTTGACTTACAGCAAGTAACTGGCTTGCACACGGTCAAGTTCTAAGGTGAGCGGCAGAGCTAGATAGGAAGTCTACACCCTAAACCAGCCCTGAATCAGTGTTTTTCTGTATCATAGAATGCCTACAGTAATATCAAAATTTACACTGGAAGGTATCCTATGGGATTTTGCTTTTGAAATTCTGAAATAGCTTTATTAAAAAGGGAACTTTTATCTGCCATCCCTACACCAGAGGTAGCAAAGTTGAGGGTGCAGTTTTGGGAAAACAACAACAACAAAAACCTCTGAACGGTTTCCACTAAATTCTAATATGTGCTACTGTTGTCCAAGATGTGTGCTCGTTCATTCAAAACCTACTGAGCACTTTCAAGAAGCCAGGTAATGTTCCAGGCAAAACACTCCTGGCCTGCAGGGGTTTCCATCCTACTGGAGGAGATGGGTAACAAGTCAACCGAATAAACAGTAGGCTAATTAGGCAGTGACAGCACAGACAGCAGGAAGGAAAACTGGAAACATGGGAAAACAGAAACGGGAAGGGAGCTTGGGAGACTTGGAGCTATCTGGGAAGAGAGGATTCCCATCTGAGGGAACGGACCTGAGGTAGAGCATGCATGGCTTGTTCAAGAAACAGTGAGGATCACAGACATTCATTATAGCAGTATTTCTAATAAAACTTTAGGAATAACATGAAGTACAAAAACAGTTAAGTACTTTCACTATATCCAGTGAAATACTGTGGAGACTTTAACAAGAATTTTCCGTACAAAAACCACTTATATCCAATCAAAGGAAAAACAGCAGGTGCCAAGTGGATTTATTCTTGCTAAAGGTCCATATCACCAAACTGAACCCCAAGTGGTTACTCCTAACAGCTGGCTTTCTGGGAACTCAGGAGCGATGACAGCCAACTGACTACGTCAACCACATTGTCCTTGCATGTTGGGGAAAGCAATGCAGAAATGCCCAATCCACTCTGTGTTCCCTGTTTCTGCTTTCTGCAGCCTTTTCTGCCTGGAACGCCCAGCCCTGCTCAGTTCATCCAAGCGCCTTTCTCTTCTGCAGACTAGATGCTGTGTGGTTCAAAAATCATCATTAAAAGCTAACTAGATCTTTAAAACCCCATTTGTTGAAATGTGGGTTTTTGACAACCCTAATATGAAAAAATACAAATATATTAAGTGGAAAAAAAGCAGATCATACAATAGTTTGAATATGGAGCAAGTTCCCATCTCCAAAGGGAAAAGAGTGTATGTATTTTCTCTGTAGAGGTAAGGCTCCATACTGTACTCCAGTAAAATGCATACTTTCCATGTAGGAAATGATGTGCATCACGGAGAGACAAAGTACATTTTGAAGCAATGTTAGAAGTTACAGCGGCAGAAAGCTCCATCTAGGTAGCCAAGTTTGCATTGGTCACTGTCTATCCATTCTAACTGTTAAACATGTTAACTGTCCAGCAGCTCTGCAGTACTGTTAGTGTGAGACACTTCTGCTAGAACCCAAGGAAAGGCGGTGGTCTTGGGGGTGGGGGGGACATGGAAGAGAAACCCCTCTTCACTCGGTTCCCCTACAAAATGCTTTCTTAAACATTCATTATAATTTAAATAAGAATCTCTTTAGGACAAGGGAAATGATATGAGTATCTGCCTGTTAAATGAGTTGCTTATATTTGACTGAGGGCCCTCCGTGATCCCTTTGTGGATGAGACTAGAAGGTAAAACCGTATCACACAGGAAAAGTGCTCCATAGGAACTCTGAGACTCCATTTTACAGATGCTTAGAGAAAGTCATCTTTCCAGGGCTACATGGCTGGCGAGTGGTGTCTCCAGCAGCAGTAACCTATGCAGCATGCCCATGTGAAGTTAGCAAATAGGTGAAGAGCACAAAAAGCATGGGAGAAGGAAAATCAGTTAAGAACACAAAAACAGACCAGAACAGTGACACACAAAGACAGAATGCTTTCAAGAAGCCGCCGGCCTGAGCAGGCAGAACAAAAGCCTGCTGCCTGGAACTCACTGGAAGGAGCGAAGCCCTCATCACTTAAGAACTACAATCAAAGGAAGAAGAGCACAGACAGCAGTCAGCACAAGTGCTGCTGCTTGTAAAGGGAGAGCACGCCGAACACGCCTGAAAGCGGAGGGAACACGCTGGGTGAATTTAATAAGTGGAAAAGCAAAATCTGTAGGAACAAACTGGGGAGAAGAGAGTCCCAATCTCTGTAGGTACCAAGAAAGGACAAGAACGAAGATGTCAAGAGGAGAGACAGAGCAGCGGAAGCTGTGGAAGCAGGGACAGTCCGCTGTCCTGGACACAGCAGGCTCCGTCCCCAGCAGGGTCGACACCAGTTCTCCCCTTATTATCATGATCCTGAGTCAGTGACGGACTTTTTAAGTCGGTTTCCTCACCTGTAACTGCAAACAATGCCAAGGGTTAGGGTGACTGTTTTAAAACCAAATCTCCCGGAACATATCAGATTCTCGATAAGTCAGTTATTATCATGATGACACTAGCATTACTAATAAATCCTGTCATTATTTATGATAAAAATAGTCAGACTCTGTGATGGGGAAAACCAGTGGAGAGAAAGAAGACTAGGTAATGGGGAATCGCAGAGTCATCCTAGAGAACACCAGGGACAGACTCCATCAGCAGCACCTGCCTAGGGCCTCTGATGAGATGCTGTGTCTGGGTAGGAGCGCCCCAACTGCCAGGCGCTCTGATGAGTCGGGAAGGTGAGGGAACACAATCGCCACCAGGGAGGTGATCTCCAGGGAAGGAGCTGAGATGCTCAGGGCAGTCTTCACAGTCACTTCCTTTTTTTTTTTGAGTCGGAGTCTCACTCTTGCCTAGGCAGGAGTGCAGTGACACCATCATGGCTACCACCGCCTCAACCTGCTGGGTTCAGGTGATCCTTCGGCTTCAGCCTTCCGGATAGCTAGGATTATAGAACTGAGCCACCACACCCGGCTCTAGTCACTTCTTGTTAAACAGAAATGGGGTGAAAAGAGATGGGCGTTGAAACTTTAAACTGAATTTAGGGTGGAGAAATAATCATCCCAGGCAGAGGACAAGACACTAAAAAGGGTGGAGCAGGACAAGCTGAGTCAGCCCAGGACTCACAGGGGGACAGCATGGGGCAGACCTGAGAGGGAGTCAGCCATACCCAGGCTGGGGGAAGGGGCAGAGGCCTCGAGACGTGAGAACGCACACACAGCACGGTTGCTCCATCCCAGCACCCGGCCCCAGCACTGCGAGGGCAGCTCCGCCACTTCATCCATCCCTGGAATGGGCTCCTGGGTGGGAGCGCCTGGCAGTCGGGGCACTCCCACCCAGACACAGCATCTCATCAGAGGTCCTAGGCAGGTGCTGCTGATGGTATCTTGTCCTCTGCCTGGAATGATTATTTCTCCACCCTAAATTCAGTTTAAAGTTTCAACGCCCATCTCTTTTCACCCCATTTCTGTTTAACAAGAAGTGATGCAATGGGCAATGCGCACTTCTGCAGTTGCTTTGAGAGACACGCTGGTGCTGCTTCCACGGGATTCAGACCCGCAGAGCATGCAGTCCCAAGAGCAGCTGTGGCTGGGTCGGGGAAAGGCCCAGGCTGGCCATGCAGGGACTCTGGCCACCACACTGTGTCTCCGCTCTCCAGCTCTAAAATGGGTGCAGGTGCAGCACCTCTCAGCGCTGCTATGAGAACTAGACAGTCACAGGTGAAATGCTTGGCACCACACTGGCATAACACTCAACAGGTGATGGGTATTGTTCAGATGAGAGGAAAGTTTTGATAACTGGGGAAGGCAGTGGAGTTTTTTTTTTTTTTTTAAAGAGTTGGAATCTCACTCTATTGCCCAGGCTGGAGTGCAGTGGCACACTCACGGCCACCCCAACATCGACCTGCTGGGCTCTGGCATTCCTTCTGCCTCAGCCTTCCAAATAGCTGGAATTATAGGTGTATGCTACCACACCCGGCTAATTTTTTATTTTCTTATTATTGTAGAGATGAGGTCTCGCCAAGTTATCCACGTTGGTCTTGAACCCGAGGGCTCAGGCAATTTACTTACCTTGGCCTCCTGAAGTGCTGGGATTATAGGCTGCACCACCGAGCCTGGACAGCAGTGAATTTTTTTTTTTTTTTTGAGTTGGAGTCTCACTCTGTCACCCAGACTGGAGTGCAGTGGCATGCTCCCGGTCACCACAGCCTCAGCCTGCTGGGCTCAGGCGATCCTTCTGCCTCAGCCTTCCAAGTAGCTGGAACTACAGGTGCACCCTACCATGACCGGCTAATTTTTGGATTTATTGTAGAGATGAGGTCTCGCCAAGTTGGCCAAGTGGGTCTCAAACCCGTGGGCTCAGGCAATCCACTCACCTCAGCCTCCCAAAGCGCGGGATTACAGGCTGAGCCACCGAGCCTGGCTAGCAGTGACGTTTTACGAGTACATTTTTGGGCTGGGTGCAGTTGCTCACGCCCGTAATATCAAAATTTTGGGAGGCTGAGGCAAGAGAATTGTTAGAGCCCAGGAGTTGGAGACTAGCATGGGTAACTTAGTGAGACCTCGTCTCCACAAAAAAAAAAAAAAAAAAAATACAAAAATTAGCTGGGTGTGGTGACACATGCCTATAGTCCCAGCTACTTGGGAGGCCGAGGCAGAGGAGCATTTGGGCCCAGGAGGTCAGGCTGTGGTGAGCCGTGATTGTGCCATTGTACTTCAGCCTGGGCAACAGAGTGAGTCCTGGACTCAAAAAAAAAAGAGTAAAGTTTTTACATCAGTGGCTCTTTACTTTTGGGGGCACATATACTGCCGTGAAAACCAGATCTTGTCATGAATGGGCTGCTATGAAAGCTACACGTGCCACAAATTCTGCACATGATATTAGGCTCATAAATTCTCTGAAATCTTGGATGCTGGTTTAAAAACACCTAATCTATAAACTACAACCACTGACAATTATTGTAAATCAGACCTTTCAGAAATGAATATAAAAAATGATTCTTTAAGATCAGCTGCATTCGTGACCAGCCTGGGCAACATGATGAGACCTCATCTCTACAATAAATCAAAGAATTAGCTAGTGTACGCTTGTAGTTCTGGTTACTTGGAAGATTGAAGTTGAAGGATTGCTGGAGCCCAGCAGGTTGACCCTGGGGTGGCTGTGAGCGTGCCACTGCACTCCAGCCTGGGCAAAGGAGTAAGACTCCAACTCAAAAAAAAAAAAAAAGATGAGTTGCAAATCTGTCATTACATGCCCAGATTGACACGAAGCGCCTGGCACCTATGCCTCACTTAACACTTCAACCACCCAGTAATGCAAACATTAGCATCCTCACTTTACAGTGAGTGCCCAGGTCCCTGCACTGTGGCAGTGACAGAAAAGCCAGAATAGGATCTGCAGCCCATGTTTTCATCCCACATTGTAAGATATTAGATACACAAAATGTCGAATATCCTGTATTTAAGGATGGTATCAGCACCTCTAATATGCCCATGTTGGCCCAATACCTCCAACCTGACTTCCTATAGCACTCTCCATTTTCTTAGCCCCACTGTAGTCAGCCACACACAGGGGTCTCCTGCTCTCCTGGGAGGATGTGGCAAATAGGTTCAGGAGTCAGAGTGGATGGTCTGAATTCCTGTTTCTTCACACACTGCTTGCACGACCTTGAACCACTCACTTCATCTTACTGCGACTCAGGTCCCATCTGTAAAATGGAGCCTATGGTTGAAGCCTCAGAGCTATTGTGAAGTTTAAATGGGTTTAAATGTGCAAAGTACTTAGAACAGAATAACTGTTAGGCTGCTGTTATTATGTGATGCTTGAGTCAATTAATAAGGCATTTAATGCACAATTTAAAACAATGTCCTATGTTTAAATGACCAGCTTGGCCACTCAGAGACTCCTCCCTATCACACGGCTAAAGCCAGAAAAGAACCCAGCCATGGCAGGCCCGTATCTTGGGTAGGAAGCAGCCCAGGGAACACCAGGGCTGGAGGCAGGAGTCGAGCTCACAGCCGCTCTATGTGCACAGCCTCCCTCAGCATCAGCCTGCAAGCCTAAACAAGGCCCTCCCCGGTGGCTTTCACTTCTCCCTGCTCTCAGCCCATCCCTGTAGTTTTGTTTTATTACTTAAGGATGACACACAATATTTAAATATCCAAATGATAATTGACTAAGAATAACAACGAAATTCTTAGCCATGAAGGTTGAGTTGGGACAAAAAACAGGCAGAGAAAAGAGATTAAAATGAGTTCCTTAAAACCAACCTATATTGTCTGTCTGTCTATTTATCTTTCTATCTCTGTATCTGAAATGCCACAAAAGATGAGAACCCAGGAAAATCTTGTTCCTGCAGGTGTTGTTTGTGGCAATCATAGCATTCATTTAACAGCCAAGCCACACAGATCCATCCTGGCAGAAATAAACATATTCTATAAATCCTTTGGAAAGGAATGGATAAGGCGGCTGTCCTTACTTCTTGAGAGCGATGTGGTATAGATGGGTAAGGCTCTTGCTGCCCGTCTCAGAATGTCCTGCTGTCTTTCTTGGCTGAATTCCTTTTCGTAACGTTCCTTTTCAGAACTGGACAAGTGGAACTGCAAAGGGAGAGAGAACGATTACATTTTAAAATCCTGTGATATTAATGACCATGCTGAGAAAGTTTCATCTAGAACAGAAAAAGAACAAAAAACAAAAAATATTTTGTTTTATGAAGGCAAACCTTATCTTGAAACTTTGTAACTATAAGTAGATATATCAGTACATTTTTAACAAAAACCACACACTTTGGCAGATTAAAAAGTGTCTGCCCTCTATACTAATGACAGCAAAGAACACAGACTAAATATTTTTGCATTTTTGTTTTTTACAGACAAAATTAGATTCCTTCACCAAAAAGGGCTTAGTGTATATTTTGTATCAGCACAAACTCTGTTGTTTAAAAGTTACTGCCGCCGGGCTCAGTGGCTCAGCCTGTAATCCCGCGCCTTTGGGAGGCTGAGGTGAGTGGATTGCCTGAGCCCGCGGGTTCGAGACCCGCCTGGGCAGCGAGACCTCATCTCTACAATAAATCAAAAAATCAGCCGGGTGTGGTAGCACGCGCCTGTAATTCCGGCTACTCGGAAGGCTGAGGCGGAAGGATCGCCAGAGCCCAGCAGGTCGAGGCTGCGGTGGCCGGGAGCGGCCACTGCACTCTAGTCTGGGCGACTGAGTGAGACTCCAACTCAAAAAAATAAATAAATAAAAGTTACTGCCGAGGTTTTTGGTTCCTGGAAGAACATCGGAGACTTGCTTGCTCTTGGTGGAGGCCGTGTCACAGGCATGGGACCCAAGTGCTCCAGCCAGATGTCTTCTGAGCTCACGGGTCATCCTTGGACCACTCTTTGCTTTGAAAAGTAACCAGCAGGGCTACCTTCTCCGGGTCATGAAGGACCAGCAAGACAGGCACAGTTGCCTTTGGCAGGGAGAGGGCGCTGCAGAGCAGTTTTTACGTTCGCGTCTTGGCGTCTGTACTTACTGAGGCTGCCCTTGGCTCAGCTCATTCCTTTCAACAGGATTTTCCCCAAGAAATGTTCCTGTAGTTGCTTCTCACCTGTCATCCCCGTATCTTCAGGACCCTCTGCTTTAGGCCTCAAGTTCACATAACCAGAAACTTTGCATTTCTATTGGTCTTTGTGTCACAGAATTTTATTTTCAACTAAGAATGGCTAGAGGCTTGCTTTGGCCCGTGCATTCCTACCGCAACTCTTATCTCCTTGCAAGGCTCTGTGTAAGGGGTCTGAGTGATCCTGAGGGGAATTCGGTCTGTGCATGCTCAGAGTGCTTGGTCCACCTGCTGAAAGGCCTCCATGCATCTCCTCCTGTAGCCCCTCTCTGCTAGTAGAATCAGCTCGGCACCTTGGTCTCCTGTCAAGCAAGGCCAGGGCTTGGTATGGGAGACGCTGGGATCCTGAGAGGCTTCGGGACGCTGAGACTGCAGAGTCCTGGCAGGGCTCCGCTCTAGTACCTCTTCCTCTAGACGGCCCTGGAAATCAGTGCCCAGGCTGGTTATTGTCACTCTAGCCTAAGGAAAACGCCAACTCCAGGAAGTACATGAGTCTAGGTTACCTGGCTTGGCTTCCCAATCAAACAGGGATGGCACAAGAAACCCAGATGACTTACAAGGGACACGCAACGGACACATGGACAGACAGAAAGAAGCCAGAAAAGAGCCACAGAGTCTTAAGTTGAAAATCTTAGAAACCCTGGAGGTCACTCATACTACCTCCCGCCACAAGCAGGGACCTTCAGACCTTCTGACAGATCCACCCTCTCCTAAATGGAACAGAAACATTTTCCTACTTGGCTGGATGGCTCATTCTCTTTCAAAAGAATTTTATCTTTAAAGCCGGGCGAGATGGTTCACGCCTGTCATCCAAGGACTTTGAGAGGCAGAGGCGAGAGGATTGCCTGAGCCCAGGGGTTCGAGACCAGCCTGGGCAACTTGGCGAGACCTTATCCCTACAATAAGTTAAAAAAATTAACCGGGTGTGGTGGTGCATACCTGTAGTCCCAGTTACTTGGAAGGCTGAGGAGGAAGGATTGCCTGAGCCCAGGAGGTCGAGGCATGCCATTGCACTCTAGCCTGGGCGACAGAGTGAGACTCCAACTCAAAAAAAAAAAGGCTTCTTCTAAGCCCTTTACAAACACTATCAATTCTACATTATTAATCACCCATGTTATTAATTTGCCCAACCCTTCCAGCAGTCCCATGGGGTCTGCTCCCAACATCCCCCTCACTTACAGAGGAGGGCTCCACTAAGAAAGTTCCCAGAGCCAAGCAGCTAATGAGCTGCCAACCAGAGGCTGAACTGGCCACTCAGCCTAGCACTGTGCTACTGCTAGGAGGAGAGCCCACTGTTCTAATTCTACTTCTAATTCTACTTCATACTTCCTGTAAGGAGAACCACTGTCTTTCCACATGCCATGTTTCAATAGCCACGTCTCGCTATTGATAAAAGTAGGTCCTTTTCAACTTTGAGATGAAGAAATAAATGGTGGTTGGTAATGCAACTCCAAGGACTGACAGTTACCAAATGGATGAAGAACATATTACAAGAAACACTAAGTTTATCTTACCTCTTTTAAAAAAATTTTTAATTTTGAAGATGTGGGGTACAACTCAGGTTAGGTACACAAATGTTCCTTATGCAGGTACCCTTGTTGATGAGGTGTGCCCCCCACCCCTGGAAGTTTCCCACTACTGCCAATCCCTTTCTTATAGTATTATGATAATTGTTCAAGGTCTGCTTATGAGTGAGAACATATGGGATTCTGTTCTTTGTTTCTGTGACAGATCACTGTCCTTACAGTATGATAGACTCTAAATTCATCCAAGTTGCTGCAAAGTCCATATGTTTGTCCCTCATTTTCATGGCTGTATAATATTCCATTGTGTATATGTACCACATCTTTTTTATGCACTCCAGCTTTGATGGGCAGCATGGTTGGTTCCATATTCTTGCTATTGTGAATAGAGCTGCAACAAACATGCGCGTGCAGGTATCTTTTTTGTAGGATGACTTGAGTTCCTCTGGGTATATTCTCAATAGGGCGACTGCTGAGTCATATGGAAGGTCAATTTCTAGTTCTTTCAGAAATCGCCTTTTCTTACCTCTTAAAACAAAAGCACCCAATAGAAAAAGTGGGCCAAAGACTGTGTGGTCTTATCTGCTAATGCTGACGTGTGAAATGGCAGTTCTCCCAGGCCTCCAGCCATATATCCCACAAGAGACACGCAGCAGAATGTTCTGTTCATAGCAGCCCCATTTGAAACGGCCCTACACTGGAAACTATCCACACGTTCAACAGCAGACCTGGGGAGTCAGTGGGTTACAGACACTGAAAAAGGATCCTAACAGCAACAGGAACGAATGATCCACAACTCTGCAGCAACAAGGACGGATCTGACAGGCAGATGTTGAGGCAGGAAGCCAGGACACAAGCCTATGTGACTCTACCACATGGCTGGGACCACATACACGACTCTACAACTTTATGTTAAGCAGAAATGTAGGCAGAGAGAATCTGCGCCACTGAAGGCAGGAGCTGGGTTCTCAAGAAGGGGGTGACAGGAAGGGGCTGGAGGGGCTGGCGATGTTCTAGCTTTGAACTGTTAGTGAACTGGGGGTTACACAGGTGCGTCCAGTTTCTGTGCACACCTATGACATGCATACCTTTTTGCATATATAATTTTTAAACACAGGACCCATAATTTTTAATGAATTTGATACATTTAACATAGAGGGAAACAATCACATTATCATCGTCATCTAACGTGAGTGCTCACCATGTGGCAGGCACACAGTAAATTAAAAGCTTCACTTGGGTAATCTCACTTGTCCTCGCAAACCTCCTCCAGAGACAGGCACAACTGTCAGCACCACCATTTGATGAGAAAACTAGAGACTGGAGAGAGGAAGCATGTGTCAGAGCAGACACTCCAACGTGGGCAAGCTAACCTAGAGAATGCGTCTCACGTGTCTTGCCACACAATGTTTCTGGTGAAGGAAGAACCAATTGGCTACGTCAGGCAAGAGGGACATGCTGGTTGTAGAGCTGACTCCACACAAATGTTTACCTCTGTTATTTTCCGAATGGAGCCTCCAGTTAGAAGAAACCGAGTCATATAAAGTGTAGCAAGCAACAACCCAGACCATTTGTTTCCCACAATCAAAGCGCTTTCTTTAGCGGCGACCTTTTTGTTCATGCCTGAGAAAATATAAATGTGAAGAGAGTTTCTCAAAATAAACTCTACTTCCCTAACTCAGTCTGCCCCTTAAGACTTCTCACTCCAGTAATGTGAAATATGTTTTTAATTTAAGAAAACACATGGCATGGCAGGAGAGCAGGGAGTTTTCACTCTGCTGTGTCCGTGGACTGTGTATGAGAACAGGCAATGATTCACACTCACAGCACGGAGCTACCAAACGGCTTCATGAACGGAAACAGAACAAATGCATCATGTCAAGTCTTAACAAAGGCAACACAAGGGAAAACAGTTCCATAATCAGTTAAAGAATTTGGTAATTTGCCAACATTAAATTTACCTCTTTGGAGGGGGAAGCGGGAGAGGTGAAAATTGTCATCCAATAGGACCATACAAACATAACAAAGAACAGATGGAAAGCCACAAGGTAAACAACGGTCTTTCCTGGTAAATAAAAAACAAACAACATTTCATTGAATCCAGGTGAAAGCAGGAGAAAGCATTACATTAAAAAACAGTATCTGGGTCAGGAGACCTAATCCAATAAAACATTTAAATATATAAACTATATCTGCACGATGTCACATTACTAGATAGAAGCTTTTAAGGATTACCAGCCTGGTTTATAAGTAAAGATGAGATTTGAGAGATTTGATTTCATCAAGTTGCTGAGGATTTAAGCTAAAACACTTCCTTCACTCACCGTATTTTAAATTCTTTCTGAAAGTTAATTTTAAATAACTTAAAAATTATTTAAAACAGAGCCCATCACTATGAACATCAAATCCAAGGAACTGTACACAAGTAAATAAAGGAAGGTACCATCACCATAAATAGTGAATACATTTGAATAACCAGATCCCTGTGTTGTCCAGAAAAAGTACCCTCAACTTCATTCTCCTGCTTAACACAGGCAAACAAGAAACATTTCTGGCCATTTTGAATTTCTACCCTGCTTCCTAAGTGGATTCATGTAACATTCCAACATCTTCATCTACCAGCTCACTGGCATAACCTGACTCTTTGTGTTGTGTTCTGCAGTTTTTCTATTTGAAGGACACAGGACTGGTTTCCATAAGAAGCAAGAACTACCTACTGGATGCTCAACTCTTTTTCAGTTTGGAACGCAGCACCACAAACCACTGAAGATAACAAAATGTGGACAAGTGTAAGAGTCTGAACAACTCATTTTTAAAAAAAAGCTCAGATCAAATGGTGCTTCTCTACAAAGGTCTCCTTGCCTTCGGAACTCCTAGACACAGCTGAGATTTCAATGACAACGGCACTTGCTTCAGTGACATCAGTCACTGCACACTGATGAGCTGCTACACGCAAACATTCACACAATAAATCCTCAACACACACTGGCTGCTATCACTAGGACTGTACTAGTATTACTAGTCCCATCTGGGCTCCAATTTCTCCCCCAAGTTGGGTTCTTTCCATGCGTTCCCCATTTCCGCGTTTCTCACGTGTAAGACGCAATCATGTTTCCACTGGTTTGGCAAAGCCAACAGGCACTCACCTCCAAGCACTGTCCGTCCTTCCCTCCATTTGAGGTTACTTTTCCTTACATTTTTGGTTTTTAAAAAGTTCATTCTTTTTAAATGAAAAAATAATAATAAATTGCCAGCTCCGTTGGGACCCATGCTGGCCCCTGCTGAGCTCAGAGAACAGAACCCGTCACCCGGTTGGCCAAGGCAGGAACCTGGGCCTCAAGAGACTCCTCACTTCTCCCGGAGAGCGCAGACACTGCCTCCAATCCTAGCTCTTAAACTTCCTTTCAAAGTGAGCTTCTTACGATTCTCACTGCCAGCGAACAGCTCAGATGCTGTTTCCCATCTCATCTGGATAATTGCAAAGCCGCTTGGTCTCCTTGGTTCCAACATACCTTGATGGCCAGTGGGGAGTACGCTGTTCACCGTTGCTTTACCCTCTTGGCTGTGAAATTCCTAGAAATAGCTGGGCATGGTGGCTCATACCTGTCATCTCAGCACTTTGGGAGACCGAGGCGAAAGGACTGCCTGAGCCCATGGGTTTGAGACCAGCCCGGGCAACTTGGAGAGACCTTGTCTCTACAATTAAAAAAAAAAAGTACTAGGCGTGGTGATGTGCACCTGTGGTTCCTGCTACTTGGAAGGCTGAGGACTGAGCCCAGCAGGTAGAGGCTGCAGTGGCCATGAGCGTGCCACTGCACTCCAGCCTGGGTGACAGAGTGAGACCACGACTCAAAAATAAAAGAAGAAATTCCTAGAAATAACTCCATCTGCATGACCCTGGCCTCCTGATACGGCTCCACCACTCCAGTCCCCATTCCTGCAACTGCACAGTACACAGCACCTGCTTGTTTCTAACCCTCACAGCAATCTTCTAGAGCATTCCTCTAGTTCACAGATGCAAACACTGAAGCTCAGAGAATTTGGTATCTTGCCCAGTGTCTCTTATTACTAAATAACAAGGCCCTATCTGCGAACCCCCAGGTTCTCTTTACTGCACCCTAAGTCTCTGAATTCCTCTATTTTTTTAACCAGCATCTCAGCAGTCACATTCTCCTTCTGAGCCAACATCTGACACCAAGGTAAAATTCCAACCAGAACTTCCATTTCACCTCTACTGACATGTCTTCCACACTGCAAATCCTGGCCTCTAAAAGTTCGCCTTCTCTGCCCTTTCAGAGCCAGCCCTGCTCCTCGCTTCTGCTTTTGCCTGGCCCATGTCCATGGGGCTGTCCTTCCTGTCTGTAGACTACTGTACAGCTTCGGGACAGATGGCACCCTTGAGGCGCCTTAAACATTTTCTTAAGACTTGGAATATAATATTATAATATTACTAAGACTTGGAATATAATATACTCTTCAAGTCTGCAAATCATTTAATATATTTTTAGAATATTTTTGCCCTCTCTGAGAACAAAACGAAATGGTGTTGCTTTAAAATACATTAATTCTCAGTTAAATAAAAATAAAATAAAATAAAGCTCTAAGCACAAGGCCTGGAACATAGTAAGTCTTAACAGATGGTAATTATTAAGTTAAAATGAGTAAAGAAGAATAGAAAATATTGCTTTTCACTAAGCTCTAATTAATATAATTTTTAACAGGCAAGTTTCTGGTCACATAAATGTGCTATAAACTACTGGTTATAAGTAATATAGAATGTAAAATCTTAGTTAACTAAGCAAATTAAATAAAAATACAAGAAAAACATGAAACCTATAAATCAAACTCTATGTTCAAAAGTCATCTGTAACTAAATTTAAAAAAACAAGAAAAATTAAAAAACTGTATTAAAAGACTTTTTGAGACATGACAAAAACAGCCCCAAGAGATAATGCTAAAAGTTAAAAGTTATTTTATAAGAACTTCTGAAAATCTTTGCTTTCTGTATCTGTGCTCTCAATACACAGGAAGCAGTTTTGATTTAACAAAAGAAAAAATAAGCCTACCAAGATTTGAATCTGTGTTTGTTTTGTTACTGAGAAATTAGATTTAAAAGCAACTTGAAATACTTAATGCCTAATTATCTCCAATAATTTGAATGACTATTAATAAGTGATTTCTCACTGCTCAACTGTTTTGGCAATACTCCGAATTTTTTTAATGTCAGTTCAAATGTTATCTCTGAAATTTGATCTCAAATGAACTTCTAAAATTTTATTTTATCTCAATTCACTTTTAAGAAAGAATCTCTCCCTTTAGGCATTGTTTCTTGGACTAGTTGTTATAAAAAATAATTTCCTTAACCTAGTAATATAATTTACATATTTATAGCCTGGTTATTTTATCAAATATCTGTGCACAGCCAGTATTTACAAGTGCATTTTTTACAAGAACATCAATAAGAAAGCCATCAAAGTTCACACATGACAAAAACAAGATTCCCTCCTAAGCATAGCTGGCTAGAATCAATATTTAAAAATCTCCATTGGTTGTGGGGGCTCACACCAAGCACTTTTGGAGGTACAGGAAAGGACTGCCTGAGCCCAGGGATTCGCGATCAGCCTGAGCAACATGGTGAGACCTTGTCTCTACATAAATCAAAAAAATAGCTGGGCGCAGTGGCACGTGCCTGTAGTTCCAGCTACTTGGAAGGCTGAGGCGGAAGGATCACCTGAGCCCAGAAGGTCGAGGCTGTGGTGGCTGTGAGCGTGCCACTGCACTCCAGCCTAGGCAACAGAGTGAGACTCCAACTCAAACAACAATAACAAAAAAATTAAAAATCTAAACAAACAATTCTGAAGAACATGCAAGGCAGAAATATTAATGTAAATATACACAAAAAAGTTTGAGTGCTAGGTAACTTACAAAATAAGAACTGTTTCAATTTATATAAACAAAACAAGATGAGAAGATATTGAATGTCTGTGAATAAACCCAATGCTAGCTCTCCTTGTAATTACTGGGCTGGGTGCAGTAGCTTACGCCTGTAATCCTAGCACTGGGAGGCCCAGGCGGGAGGACTACTTGAGTTCAAGAACATCCTGGGCAACATAACAAGACATCTTTTCATAACAAGAAAACAATTAGCTGGGTGTGGTGGTGGGCGCATGCAGTCCCAGCTACTTGGGAAGCTGAGGCTCGCCTGGGACCAGGAGGTTGAGGCTGCGGTGAGCCATGATCGTGCCACTGCACTCCAGCTCGGGTGACAGAGTGAGACCCAACTCAAAAACAAAACAAAACAAAAACCTACTTAAATTGTAACGACATGAATTTTCTTTCTGAAAAGCAGAAACATAAATAAAAAGTATGTGGCTTGCAATTAAGATACCATAAGCATTTACTTAAATTGAGAAGTGTCTTACCATTTTCTTCATTTCCAGAAATAGTAACTAGAATAGAAGAAAAAATAATGAATACATATACTTTAAACATTTTGTACTTAAGTTTTATTTCAGGTTGAATATCCGTCTTAATATCATTTTCATAAAAATACAATACAAAGTCAGAACTGTAGTTAAAAAAACTCCAAAAACATTAAAATGCTAAAATTCAAATGCATCAGCACTACAATTGCACCCTTTTTTGGTTAACTCTGTTAACTTTAAGTGTATCACATGGATATAGCTGCAAGGTTTTCCTTAACTCTTTCCTTAATGACATCTGCAGGATGAATAGAGCTGTTGTCTACGGCCTTCATATGTTAGTTGTTAGTCTGGGATGCACCTTGTAAAAGCTACACTCACGACAAATTTCTTTTTTATTTTTATTTTTTGAATTGGAGTCTCATTCCGTTGCTCAGGCTGGAGTGCAGTGGCATGCTCACAGCCACCCCAGAGTCGACATGCTGGGCTCAGGCGATTCTACTGCTTCAGCCTTCCAAGTAGCCGGAACTACAGGCACGGGCTACCACGCCTGGCTAATTTTTTGATAAACTGTAGAGACAAGGTCTCACCAACTTGCCCAGGCTGGTCTTGAACCTCTGGGCTCAGGCAATTCTCTTGCCTTGTTCTCCCAAAGTGCTAGGATTACAAGCTTAAGCCACCGTGCCTGGCCAACAAATTTATTTTTCCACAGAAAAAAGCAGAGGAACTTATGCCTATCATTTTCAGAGAGCTTTCTCCCTGAGTAACCAAATACTCAAGAAATCTAAGTACAGAAAAGTTAACTCAGCATCTACCTATCTCACATTTTCTCACATCCTGTATCACTATCTTGATAAACAGCTAAAACAACCACTTCAACCATACAGGAGCTTGGTATGTTTGGTTATGTAAAAAAATAAATGCTAGGCCGGGTGCGGTGGCTCACACCTATAATCCCAGCATTTTGGGAGGCCAAGGTAAGAGGACTGCCTGAGCCCACGTGTTCAAGACCAGCCTGGGCAACTTGGCAAGGCCTTATCTCTATAATAAAAAAAAATTAGCCAGGTGTGGTGGCATGTGCCTGTAGTTCCAGTTAGCTACTTGGAAGGCTGAGGTGGAAGGATCATCTGACCCCAGCAGGTCAAGGCTGCGGTGGCCGTGAGCATGCCACTGCACTACAGCCTGGGCAACAGACTGAGACTCCAATTCTAAATAAATATATAAATAAATGCTAGGAAAAAAATTACTGCAGGAAAGTGAAGACTAACAAACTAGAAAAAAAATTCACAGTTCTTACTACAAACTAAGAACTTGGTTCCTTAATAAAGAGTGCCCATAAATCAATAACATGTTTTTAAAAACTTACTTTTTTCATAGAAAAGTGAAAACCATCACAAACCATTAAGAAGTTCAATCTCATCCATAAGAGAAATTCAAAGTACAATTACATGAAGCTATCGTTTAATCATATTGACAAAGACTACACTAGGTAACACACTGTTCATCACACTCCTCCAAGCTAAGAGCCCCCATTTATGACTGCATCTGGCTAAGAGTTGCCAGCAGTTGCCTCGTCCAGCTTCTCACTAGAATCTTCACACAATTACAGAGATTATAACTGCTCCAGATGAAAGCAAAGCTAGACCAACCAACACTAGCCGGAATCACTCTTCATACGAGTTAAGCATCTCCTTGGCATGTATGAGGGCGACTCCCCAGAAAACGGAATTATCGTTTGGAGGGTAGGCCCCTAGTAGTGCAGGCCTCCCCCGCTAGGTAAGTGTTCTAGGAACCCATCGGCATCTGTGTACCAAGTAGCATTGTTGAGAGAGGCTGCGTTTGGCTTCAGTTAATTTTTTTGGAGATTTTTATTTTAAAGATGTGGGGTATAATTCAGGGCTAAGTACATAAGTGGTAACCATACAGGTAAAGACTGTCTCCCTTTGGTCCCTGCTTTGCCTGGTTTGAGATCAGGTTCCCTTATTGATGTTATGTGCCTCCCCCACCCAGTGTCCCGCTACTGCTAATCCCTCTCTTACACTAAATGTTATATAGTAACATTTATACTCTCTTATAGCAAATGATAAATGTTCGGGGTCCGCTTATGAATGGAACATGAGGTACTCAGTTCTTTGTTTCTGTGATGGATCATTGAGTATGAAAGACTCTAAATCCATCGGACTTGCTGTGAAGTCCATCATTTTGTCCTTCTGGAGATCCTTTTGATGGATTTAGCCATTTCGTGATGGGTGATTTGTGAGTACACTGCCCACGCCATGCTGAGTGCTCAGCAGTTTTGGCCCCAAAACGGCATGACCCACGTGTCCCACGCTACGTATTCACCTGACTGCACCCCAGTCACAGGGAAACGTCTTGCCCATGGGAAAGGTCAAAACAAAAAGGCATCAAAATTAATGGGTTCAAAAACTGTCTTAAGTAGTGGAAAAAGCATCTCAGTAGGTGTGTTACATCAAACAGAGAGCACTTGGAAGATGACTGGAGTTTAAGCATGTAAGAATAAGTACACAATTTTTAATAAATAAAAACAGAGTTTTTTGGGTCCTCCCATATTCCCACAGCACCTTATTCTTTCCTTTTCATGACACCCCAACCCTTGTAATTACTGGCTTACAGTCCATGGCTCCTTCAAGATTTTTTCTTGGAGGTAGGTGACATGACTTGTTCACCAGTGCCAGAAAAGTGTATGACATGGAGTGATCTCTCAGTATTTCTTAACTGCACCCCTAACTACAGACACAAAGAGAGCAAACACCAGGCTATCTGCAGAGACTTGTAGCAGGGACAGGCAATTCCATTTCCTGGGGATCCCCATCTATCTTTTCCAAAAATTATCTTGATAGAAAGCCAAGGTTAGAAAAAAGATTAAGTGTATAAAATGTTTATATATGACTTCTAAAGGCATGAAGAATGTCATGACTCCATCTTGTAGTGGCCATGTGTAACCTCATTTAGAGATAACAGTCATCTAAATTGAAGGCTGTGAACACAGGGGTTGGCCGTGTTCTACTCGCCACATAAATGTTCATCTCCCACTGCCAAGACTGACAATGCCAGACACTCACTCTACCAGTAGACACATATCTACTGTGGTCATGGGATCCAGTTCTTGCAAATGGGTACATCTCAGGGGAGGGAAGAACTGTTACTGGGGCAAACAATGGTTCCCCTTCCTTAACAAGTGAGAGGCAGCAAGGGATAAAGCAGCTCTGTTTGCTCCCTTATCCTGTTTGTTTGAATGCGTGTAATGTGAGGATGCGCTGTGTGAACTGACAATAGCCAACTCTCAACCCTGAAAGGCCTGCTATTCACCGGGCACAGGACTCTGGGTTGATAGTTCTTTTCATTTAGCACTTGAAAACTGTTGCGCTACTTCCTTCTAAATCTCATGGTTTCTGAAGAAAAGTCTGCCGTTATTCTAATTGTTTGTCCTGTCTCTACAGGTAAGGTCTCCTCTCTCACTGCTTTCAAGATTGTCTTTAGTTTTCAGAGGTCTGGTAACTAGGTGTCTTGGAATGGATTTCTTTGGGCTTTTTCCGTTGAGTTTGCTCAGCTTCTTGAATTCTTCTTGACTGTGAGTACTACCAAGCTGGGAAATTCTAGACTTCCATTTGTTCAAATGCCTTTCAAGCACATCCTCTTTCTTCTGTCTTTCCGGGACTCTGATGACACAAGTCCCTGTTGATGTGCTCATTTTAATTTTCCAGTCTATTTTTTCTCTGTTGCTCAGATTGGGTAACTTCTACTGTCTTCAGGTTCACCAGCTCTTTCCTCTGCCATCTCCAGCAGATGTCTTCATTCTGGCTATTGTACTTTTCAGTTTCAAAATTTCCCTTTGGCTCTTTGCATCTTCTACTTCTTTGTTGAGAATTCTGTTTTTTCATGTTTCACTTGCAAATAAAATCATTTTAAAGACATGTGCTTTAATATCTTTGTGAGATAATTCCAACATCTGAGTCACTTGGATCTGGCATCTATTGTCTTTTCTTATTTAAATGGAGTTTACTGGTCTTGGTAAGACAGGTGGTTTTCAGTTAAATCCTGGACATTTAATATTATGCTGAGCCAGGCTCAGTGGCTCAGCCTGTAATCCCATGCTTTGGGAGGCTGAGGCGAGAGGACTGCCTGAGCCCGCGGGTTCAAGACCCACCTGTGCAACTTGGCGAGACCTCATCTCTACAATAAATAAAAAAATTAGCCGAGTGTAGTAGCGCACGCCTGTAGTTCCAGCTACTTGGAAGGCTGAGGTGGAAGGATCGCCGGAGCCCAGCAGGTCGAGGCTGCAGTGGTCGGGAGTGGCCACTGCACTCCAGTCTGGGTGACAGAGTGAGACTCCAACTCAAAAAAATATATATGTTATGCTGAGACTCTGGATGCTATTCAGACGTGCTGGAGCAGGCCTCCTCAGACCCTGTGCTGTGAGAGGCAGGTCTTAGCACCTTGCTGCTGTTAGGTGGACATCAAGTCCAGGCTCCCTCTAGGCTTCTGCTGATACGTCCTGACTTGGAGGAGCAAGGGTGCCTCCTCAGAGCTCCCCATATTGCCAGTACTTACGCAACCAAGAGGGAACTTGTTACTGTTTTCAAAAGTGGCTGTACTGTTTGGCATGTCCACCTACCACATATCAGAGTTACAGCTCATCGACATCCTCACCAATACTTGGAAATGCCAGTTTTTAAAATTTCAGCTAGCCTAAAAAAAGTGTACTGGTATCTCCATTGCAGTTTTGTGCTTTCCTAATGACTAATGATGAGTAGGAGTCTTACTCTATTGCCCAGGCTGAAGTGCAGTGGCACACTCATGGCCATCACGGCCTCGAACTGCTGGGCTCAGGTGATCCTTCCGCCTCAGCCTTCCAAGTAGCTGGAAATACCTTCCAAGTAGCTGGAACTACAGGCGCACGCCACCATGCCCAGCTAATTTTTTGATTTATTGTAGAGATGAGGTTTCGCCAAGTTGCCCAGCCTGGTCTCAAACCGGTGGGCTCAGGTAATCCTCTCACCTCATCC